TGCTATACATAGAAAATCCTAAAGAAGCTACCAGAAAACTACTAGAGCTCATCAATGAATTCGCTCAAGTTGCAGGATACAAAATTAATACACAGAAATCTGTTGCATCTCTATACACTAACAATGAAGTATCAGAAAGAGAAATTAAGGAAGTAATCTTATTTACTTAAAATGGATTAAAGAACTAAATGTAAGACTGGATTCTATAAAACTCTTAGAGGAAAACATAGGCAGAACATCCTTTGACATAAATCGCAGCATATTTTTTTGGATCTGTCTCCTAGAGTAATGGAAATAAAAACAAAAGTAAACAAATGGGACCTAATTAAACTTAAAAGCTTTTGCACAGCAAAGGAAACCACAAACAAAATGAAAAGACAACCTACAGAATGGGAGAAAGTATTTGCAAATGAGGCTGACAAGGGATTAATTTCCAAAATACACAAGCAGCTCACACAGCTCAAAAGCAAAGAAACAAACAACACAATAAAAAAACGGGCATAAGACCTAAATAGACATTTTTCCAAAAGACATACAGATGGCCAACAGACACATGAAAAGATGCTACACATCACTAATTATTTGAGAAATGCCAATCAAAACTACAATGAGGTATCACATCACACCAGTCAGGATGACCATCATCCAAAGTCTACAAATAATAAATGCTGGAGAGAGTCTGGAGTAAAAGGAAACCTCCTACGCTGTTGATGGGAATCCAGATTGGTGCAGCCACTATGGAAGACAGTGTAGACGTTCCTTAAAAAACTAAAAATAGAGTTACTGTATGATCCAGCAATCCCACTCCTGGGCGTATATCCAGAGAAAACTCTAATTTGAAGATACATGCACCCCACTGTTCATAACAGCACTTTTTACAGTAGCCAGGACATGGAAGCAACCTAAATATTCATCAATAGATGAATGGATAAAGAAAATGTGGTGTACACACACACACACACACAATAGAATACTACTCTACTATAAAAAGGAATGAAATAATGCCATTGGCAGCAACATAGGTGGACCTGGAGACTATCATACTAAATAAGTGAAGTCAGTCAGTCAGAGAGAAACAAATATATGACATCACTTATATGTGGATTCTAAAAAAATGACACAAACAAATTTATTTACAAATCAGAAAGAGACTCACAGAAAACAAACTTATGGTTACTGGGTGGGAAGGGGGAGGGAGGGATAAAATGGGAGTTTGTGATTGGCAGATACAAACTATTATGTACAGAATAAACAACAAGGTCCTACTGTATAGCACAGGGAACTATATATGGCTTACAGTAACTTGTAATGAAAAAGAATATGTGTGTATGTGTGTATATATATGTACGTATGTATGAATCACTGGGCTATACACCAGAAAGTAATACAACATTGCAAATCAACTATACATCAATAAAAAAATGGGAAGAAAGAAAAAGAAAAAAGTGAGCAGGAGTATGAGGGTGACAGAAGGTGGTAGGGTGATCAAGGTAGGGCTTATAGAAACGGTGAGACTGAGCAAAAACGTGGAGAAGGAAGTTGGCCAAGGGGCTATCTGGAGGAAGAGTGTTTCAATCAGAAGGAATAATGACAACACAGACTCTTTAATGAACAGCAAGAAGGCAGAGTAGCTGGAGCAGCAAGATGAGGGGTAGAGCGGCAGCAGAGAGGTCAGGAAGGGTGGTGGCAGACCATGTAGAGTCTAAAAGGCCCTTGTAAGTAAGGGCCTTGGCTTGAGTGAAAACGAGAGCCACCGTAATCTATCCAGGAACATGCCTATATTTTGCCATTTATCCAGGCCATCTTTTTGTCCATCAATAGTGTTAAAGGTTTCTTCACACATATTTTGTGCATTTCTTTGTCATGTTTATTCTTAGTCAAGATTTTGTTCCTAATGTGAATGGAATCTTTCTTCTATTATATTTTCTAATGGGTAATTGCCATTAATTAGGACAACCACTGATTTTTGTATGTTGATTAAGTATCTAGAGTTCCCTTTTCATGAGAAGGTTCTAAACTTCATCCCCAGCTTGGGTAGTTTTTGGTATCTGAATCTGCCCTATACCCTTATCAGCTCCCTCCCAATACATTGGTGTTTCTTAAGACACTTGTAAAATGTACCATAGTCTCAGAGTATCTTTCTAGGTTTTCTGTCCAAAATTTGCTCCAATATACTCATTAGGAGGCTAGTATTCTTCAAAAACCAAAAAAGAAAATAACAACTATTGGCAAAGATGTGGAGAAATTAGAATCCTTGTGCACTATTGGTGGGAATGCAAAACAGTGCAACTTCTACAGAAAACAGTATGGTGATTCCTCAAAAAATTAAAAATAGAATTACCATACAATCCAGAAACATGACTTCTGATTATGTACCCAAAAGAACTGAAAGCAGGGACCTAAAGAGATATTTGTATACCCATGTTCATGGCAGCATTATTCACAATAGCCAAGGAGAAGAATCAACCCAAATGTCCCATCGACAAATGGCCAAACAAAATGTGGTATATACATATATATATATATATATACACACACACAATGAGATATTATTCAGCCTCAAAAAAGAAGGAAATTGACATGCTACAATTTAGATGAACCTTAGGAACATTATGTTAAGTGAAACAAGCCAGTCATAGAAAGAAATAGTGTATGATTCCACTTATATGAAGCACCTAGAGTTGTCAGATTCATAGAGACAGAAAGAAGAATGGTGGTTGCCATTGCAGGGGCTGGGGTTGGGGGGACAGGGGAATTATTGTTTAATGGGTACAGAGTTTCAGTTTCAAAGTTGAAAAGAGTTCTCAAACTGGTTGGTGGTGATGGTTGCCTAACAATATGAATATACTTAATGCCAATGAACTGAACTGTACACTTAAAAAGTAATGTTGTATGTATTTTACAATTAAAGAAATTTTTAAAAATTCTGTTGTCTGTTTCCTGTTGCCAGTCTTTTAATTCTGTGAGGCCCAGTTTGGTCCTCTGCCTAGTGCTTTGAGCTCAGCTTTCCTGACTAAACTTTGTTTGGGCCTGGAACTCCTTAAGCCCCACCAACATTTACCCAGATTAAGGTTCCCTTTTTCTTGGAGCTCTCTTGTCAGTCCACTTATATATATATATATATATATATATATATATACACACACACACACACACACACACACACACACACAATCCTGCTCCTGAGACCCCCAGTTTGGGCCAATGCTCACTTCTGAAGAAAGATCTGAGAAGTAAAGCACACAATTCTAGAAAACAGACTGTCTGAACTTAAGGCTGTTAAATATATATCAAAAGCTTGAGAAACAGTATTTATGGAGAATTGTCTGAAGGATATACAGCTTACCCACTTCTTGGGATCAGTTTTTTGTTTGCTTGTTTTTTGTTTTCTAAGCCAAATTTCAACAGATGAACTCTAGAAACTTTGTGAACCTTCTAAAATTGTCCATAGACAACCTGTGCATTTTTTCTGGGGAGAGGTCCTGAACTTTTAAAAGATTCTTAATATGTTTTGTTATTGAAAAAGAGTTAAGAACCTTTCTCTGTGTACTCTAAAATTTGTTCTTCCTTAAATTGGATTATAAACAAAGCCAAGAAGGGTGAAATTCCCTATGGAAGAATTAGAGTCAAATCAAATACTGGTACTAAAGGTCCTTCCTTCATAAATTCAAGCATGGGATTTGGATAGCCACCAATGCATACACTTATGGCAATATTTGGATAAATATATACAACATCTTGCATGTACATGGAGTATACATAAGCTTAAAAAAAGCAACTTCAAAAGGTTTCATGGAAATTTTTAACAACTCACTCTTCTCAATCTTGGGATAATTCTTTTATGTAACCCTCATATGCCTTTATTTAGCTAAAATCCATCCTCCATCTTCAAAGCTCAGCTTTTAAAATTAAAACAACAAATGTAGTCCAAGAGGAACTGATTTTGTTTTACTAAACCAAAAACAATTTCCTTTCCTCCTCAAACATATACACACTCTTTGGAAGCCCCATAGCTCTTTTATTGTTTTTCAAATTCTTTAAAAGCATAGTTCACAAAAAAACTATGACAGAAGGTTTTCCCTCTGTTAGAGAGAACCCTCCCATACAACAATCAACAGTCAGTTGGTTGGAATTACATGGAGAGTCTAGTCAGACCTTGGTAGAAAGCCCAAACTTTCTCCAAAATAACCACAGCAGAAACTGATATTGATATGACAAACTGTCACAGTAAGGATGCAAAATATACAGTCTGGGATTGAAGACTTCATTATTAAACTAGATCTCTATAGGAAGAAAAATAAGTTCAATAAGACCCTTTTGATCATCTTATTTAACCACACATGGAAAAAGGAAGGAGGCTATCAGGAGGAGTATTCAAATCATGATTCATCTTATTATAATGTCAATAATCCCAATTAATTCAATCAGCCCAGTCAAAGTGTTTGTTGGACTATTCCTATGTCCCCTTTAAAATTCACAGATGAAAAACACTCTCTCACCGTTAGCTTTTGCTAAAGACACTTTGACTATAGTTGTTATCATAGCAGACCTTTGGCTTTCTGTCTTAAATACCTTCAAAATTGAAGGACTCACCTGTCTGCTTCAAGTCTTTAGGTAGAACATTCCTCTCATTACCTTCTAAAAAGAAAACTGAAACACTGTTCTCAAATGTGAATTAATAAATGGTTATAACCAAAGACTTTCTATAGTAATTTCAAGTTCAACTTTACAATTTTTTTCCTCCCACCTTTGCAGCAAAAATACTCTCAAGCCAGGTCAGAGGGAAGTCAAGTCTGAGTCCCGCACTAAGAAGTTTCTTGGAAATGCAAAATTGTAAGAAGTTTCTTGGTAGGCTTCAGTTCAATCCTGAGTGCTCAAGAGAGCACAAGCGGTCATTTTCCTGGCTTTGTGCATAGAATATGGTACAGTGTAGTACTAAACAAATACATTGTTGATTGTTGAACTTTGGGTATCTCAGCAGATATGAGCTGAGCACTTACCTGAAATTAAAGGTTTTATGTATTTCATCTCAGAGAAACACCACCTAAGAATAAAACAAAAACTCCCTGTCAGTTAGCCCATCAGGCCCTGATGATATAACACCTACACTTTATAAAAATGTGCTGTGTGCCGGACACTTTACTACAAACTTTATAATCTCATTAATTTTAATTTTCATTAAATTAAATTTATCTAATTTTCATTAAAATCTGGGCTTAAAATGATGGTATTATTCTTTTTTACAGACGAAAAATCTGAGGCTTAAGAAGGTTAAGTGAATTGTTCAGGGTCATACAACCAGAGAGTGGTGGAGTCACAGTGATAAGAGATTTGAATCCCTGCTTGCCTGACTCCTCTGGACCATGATTCTTAATACCATCTCTCTCCTAGACTTGGCCACAGATGAAGATATGATAGTCAAGTGGGTATCTATGACAGTAACTGAGAACTGTGGTCAAATACCATGGTTCAGAAGGAGTATAATTTAAAGATTTAAATGTCCAGATGCTCCTCTTTGGTAGATCTGGCACTGAGCTCAGAATGAAATCCACTCTTCTACTGTGTCCCCACATTTCAGCATCCCTTACTTCTTCACTTTTGACCCAGAATTTCTTAAAGCAATCTTTACCCAAAGTATGGTCCATGAATCAATTGTTTCAAAGACATGAAAAGTACTTGTGGAAACTACAGACACTTGCCCCCCACCCTGGATGTAATGGATCAGACTCTCTGGGAGGCGTGGCAACAAGATACCCAGGAGGTTCCTTTGCCAATTGAATTTTAGACTACTCATAGCTTTAGAGCAAAAGAGCTAGAGTAATCAAAAAGTAAATGCAAAGGTAACTTTCAAGTCAGACAGGTGTTAAGAACAGAGATCTTGTGAGAAGACATAGGGTAATAACATTGTTTTGGAACTGGAAACAATCTTGGAAATTATCTATTTTCAATGTTTTTCTATCAGTGTTCTATGAAGACTTAGGAGTTCTAAAATGGGATATAAGAAAAAGAAACTGGCAGTCAGAACCTAAAGTCTTAAAAAAGCAACTACAGAAGCCCCACTGGTATGTATTTTGTATCAGAAAAAAAATGTTTTTTTTTTAATTTAAAATAACAAAACCTTGGCTACACAAAGGGAGTTCTGAAAAAGTCTCGAGGCCCAATGTGGAGCCCAGACATATTGAATCAAATTTATGTGAGTTGGTTCTAGGCCTCAGCATTTTGGTAACAGGTGATTCCAATGTATAGACAAAGCCAGGAACCACTGCAACAATCTGATCTATCCTTCTTCATTTGAGAAAAAAGAGACTAAGACCTAAGAAACTAAAGGAGATCAGGACTAGCACCAGTATCTCTTGACTACTAGCTCACTATGCTGTATTGCTCTCTCATCACAATCCAGAATGAACCAACTGTTCTAAGGTAGAGAGCATATGAATCAAAACTATTATGTAACTTCACATTTTTCCAAGTTCTCTGTACCTTTGAAGAGTGCTTCATATATATTCTCTCTTTAGATTTTTATACAGGGAAGTAGGCAAAACTTATGTTTTAGGTAGGGCCGGAATTTAAATCTTCATATTCTAACTTCAGGATTAAGTCAATTAAATTTAGTGCTTACTGAGTATCTAGTATGTGTTAGTCAAGACATGCTCAGAGATGCAAAAATAAGTAAGTTATCATCCATGCCCTCAATTGGTGTACAATCTTCTCAGAAAGACAACTAAGATACTGTACTGCTTGGCTTATCCCTAAAAATAGCAGAAACCAAAAACCTTCCTTGACTGGTCTTGATGACAAAATCCAATTCTCTTGAAATTCAGTCTGTGGCTTCTAATTTCTTCCTGAATATGGTTATTAATTCTAGGGAACACAAGAGATTTGAATACAGCAACTAAATCTCTAGGCAAGGCGAAGTAGCTGAAAATTCCTTGATAGGGGTAGAGAAGAGAAAATGGTACAATTTCAGTGAGGTTCATTTTATACTCTCCAAAGCCAAGGATGTGATTCGGCAGAAGACTGGGAGATTCCAAGAAAAATGACTGGAGGGACAAGACAGGGTATTCACAAAAGTAATTAATCCCTTATCCATAGCACTTAAATAACTGGGCAGTTTACAATTTATGTTGTTGAAGATAATTACTGCATACCACAGGGGAAAATAACATGTAGGAAATAATATTTTAACTATGACCCAGGGTGATAGAGGTCACAGATGGACAAGAGTGCTCAAAAACAACTTCTTCATGAGGAATTCATCAGACACTGCAAAATGCTGCCATCCAGATTTTATTACATAAAAGATAATGAGGAAACCAGAAACACATGTTTTATTTATGGACTGAAAAACCTTGGTCAGGAATAGTCCATCACAGTTGTTCTCAAACTTTAACATGCATCAGAATCACCTGGAGGCTGGATCCCATCCCTGATCAGTTTGAGTCAGCAGGTTTGTGGTGGTGCCCAAGAATGTACATTTCTTACAAATACAGGTGATGCTGATGCTGTTGGTTCAGGTCCTATACATTGAGAGCTGCTGGTTTATTATAAAGCCCACAATATACTAGATACCCACACAAAACATGCTTGTTGCAAATTATGGCAATTTATTTAACTCTCTATTATTGACTTTGTAAATGATACTCTCCACCAACCTAATGGCCAAAAGTAAGACTACTCAGGAAGAAGTTATCGCTAGTTACCAAAGGAAACAATCTATTTTACAGCAAAAATACATGTTTTAGGTGACTGAGCATCTGACAGAGGCAGCCAATGAGGTACATCTAGCAAGCAAGAAATAACAGTGCCCTTTAAAAGTATTTAGCTATCTTGAGGTAGAAAAGAATTTCGTTTCTTACACTCAACAGGACACCCTTTGGACCTCTCTATACATTACTTGCTACCCAGAGTTCCATCCTCATTCTTCTTTTCTCACTATTCACTTTCCCTGAGTTTTCTTTACTCCATGGTTTCATTTAACACACACACAC